ACATGGTTAGGGCTGTTAAGTTCACTGATGATTGTTTTCCATCTCTACTCTAGACATCCACAAAGGCACCAAAGCCTGTCCGACAGCCCTCTCTTGACCTTCCCACCACCAGCATGATGGTAGCCAGCACAAAAAGCCTATGGGAGACTGGAGAGGTTGCTGCCCAATCTGCAGTGAAGACCCCAGCCTGCAAGGTGAGGTGCTGGCAGGATGTGCACTGCTTTATACAGGGCAAAAATCTCAGCTAGTGTCCTGAATCATTTCTCAGTAGTGCAGCTAGGAAAGCTTCCTGGATGCTGATTGAGGCTCAGCTTTGAAGTGGGAGTAAATGGAAAAAATTGTACATCTATTCTGCAGAATTTAAGAATGAACTCCTTTTTTAGTGCGAAGTTGGGTCTATCACCAAGGTGATAAATCTTGTCAATTTGGAAATTGCTGAAGATATTATGTGCTGCTCGTAATAACTTTTGTTTTTTGGTTGCTGTAAGCACGTGTGGTTCTGTAATGCATGGGTTGTAAATCTGCATTTTATGAGAGTAAAATTCCTTCTGAGTAAAAATGCCTTGATGTCAACGTCTGAAATAATTAACAAACTTAAGAAAATAAACACGTTGGTTCTGTGATCCAGGCTCTTGTTGAAGAGACTAAGAGAAGAAAACACAGGATATATTGCTATCAGGAAGAAGTTTTCAAAGTCTTGAGTTTTAGCTGCAGCTGCTGTAGCTCAGACAGTGTAATACTTCAAATATAAAAGGAGGTCAGATGTGTGGGGTTGAAGTCATGTCCAGCAGCACTGATGGTGAAGGGTAATGAGAACTTTGTATATCCTTCTCAGGATATCGTGGCTGGAGACATTGTGAATATAAGAAGCCTTTGGGAACAGAAAGGTGGTCCCAAACCTGAGACCAATATCAAAGTAAGTTAATATCTGTGTGAGGGCAGAAGTCCTTTTCTTTTTCACAACATAGTAAGGGCTCTGAGCTGGGTTGAAAGCATTGAGGAGGCAGTGATGTAGCAGAAAGGCAAGGGCTGCCTGTATCTATCAATGCAATTGCACATAAAAGATTTGGAAAAGCTCTTACAGCTCCAATCCTAGTGAAATTGGGGGCAAGAATCCTATTATAACGAGTAATACCAACAGGTCTCTTCAATGCCTCATTGTTCTCAGATAATGAGTTGGTAGCCCTGGCCTTCTAGGTCAAAGTTGAACTGCAAACACAAGTTACTTTGCTCTCATTATACTTGATCCTGAGAGTAAAGAAAAACATCCACAGTGAGGCATAAGATAGTATCAACAGTTGTAGATGGATCTGGGGTCTTGTGCCTACTGGTATGCTTGTGGGAATGGCAGTTAAAATGAAGTAAGCAGCTGCTGCTCAAGTTGTCCAGGCTGAGAGAAGATCAAAGCATTTTGCCTGTTCTTGGATCTGCAGTGCTGCCAGGATGCAGTCAATGCAATTGGCTTTTGCCATGTATGAAACCAACTCTGCAGAGCCCAACTGCCTCCAAGCCCTTTGGGATTACAGGCAATGATTGCATTTTCCTCTGGCTTCATTTATTTGGTATTGACTATTTAGAGAAAATTGCAGACTGGTTATTTCTTTCTCTCCTGTTCAGTCCACTCCTTCTGGCAAGAAGTACAAGTTTGTTGCGATGGGCCATGGCCAGTACAAGAAGGTATTGATAGATGATGCTGCAGAGCAGTAGCGTGCCTGGAGAACCCATTAACCAGGTAGGTAGGTTATGACCTTGCAACAAACTCCTTGTGCTGCTTTGGCGGGATGTTGGGGATATTTCTGCCAGCTAAAATTGGGGCAACTTGGAAGGTAAGGTACAATAACAGCTGGAGCCTTGCTTCTGGGCTATTGCCTGGCTTGGGGCTGGGAGGAACACAGTGGGGTGTTGGTTTGTTTTCTCATTTCTGATACTTCTAGGTTGTTGGATACCTACATTAGTTTAATTTGCAGGACAAGCTGTTTATATTTGCTGGTTCAAAGGAACAGTCTCTCTGCTGTTTTCATATGGTTTTATCTTGCAAAGAGAAGCTCGTAACTGGAAGTCACTCCGGCTGAGCGTGAGGGCTGATTTAATCCTGAAATTTAAATGCTTTGGGGGTTTAATTCCCTGATATACTGAATTAATTAAGGGGAAAAAAAAATTGTAACTATTTCAGTGACCTCTTGGAACCAGTCCACAGAAGGGTTGTGGTGGGGAGGATGGGAGCATCTGCTCTGATGGGTGGATCAACAGAATAGAAAGGGCCGTCCTTGGATGTGTGGCAATAGGGAGAGGCAATGCTGGGTCTGTGGCTTCTTAAAATGGCCTTTGGAGATCATGGTCATATCGTGTTTGTGTTAATAGATATCCTGGTGTTATCTGGAGTGATTGAAATATAGGGTTGTGGCAGTAAGGAGAAATGGAATAGAGGGAGGAAATAGCTAGCTGGATTCAACTGGGCAGCATCTGGCACTGAGCAGAGGGGATGTTGTTCGGGTGAAAACAAGCTCATTCTTTCTTTCTAATATAAAAAAAGTTTTATTTCATAGCCAAGCTTATAAATAGCTCAGTCTGCTACAAAACACCTTTGTTTCTGAGTTCTTCTGGGCATTGAGCTACTTTTTTTTTTTTTTTTTTTTTTTTCCCTTGTTCAAGGAGCTGAGCTCTGAGTGTTTGCTTTGTATTTTTTTTTCTGTGGTGCCTGCTTAGGAGAGGTCTCCTGAATGCTGCCTTGAGGTGAGCAGCAGTACAAACCCAAGCTTGAATGCAGCTACCTTTTTAGGCATAAGGAAGAAGGAGCCAACAGGACTTGCATCTTCAGCTTCTCTGCCTGTGGCTTCCAGAAATCTGCTTTAATGACAAGTTTAGCTGTCTATTTCTCTTGCTGAGAGGTTCCTGCTCCCCACTTCCTCTCCCTCATGATGATGTCCTTCCCCTTTCCTTACTGTACCGTCTGTTTGTGCTTGCTTTTCTGCTCCCAAACCCTCTGGCTTGCACCCACATCCCCCACTCGGCACCACCTCATGAACTTACACATACATACAACTCTTTCTCTCCTCTCCCACCCTTAGCTGCAGCTCCTCTGGGCAGGCTGCAGACCAAGAGGCTTTTTCCAAGTGGCATTTTAGGCTCTTACCATCTGCCTGAGTCTGTTGGACACTGCACAGCAGCTCAGGCTGGGACAAGCTATGAAGGCTTCTCATTTGAAGCTGAAGGTGATCTCCCATTGCCTCTGGGCATCTGTTCTCTTGTCTGCAATGCTCTGGTGCCAAGGTCTGTCTCTGCAGGACTTTGTACCTGCTCTGTGCCTCTGCCTTTTTTTCCTAGGGGCTGAACTAGAGTCAGTTCTGCTTTCCTTTGCTTCTTCTCCATTTCTCTCCCCAGCAGCAGTTCTCTGTCTTCCATCCCTTTGGGGTTGGAATGTGGACACAGCCTGGTGGGAAGCCCAGCAGATGCAAGACATAAACCTCTCCTCTTCACATGGATTGTTCCAGGTCATTGTCATTGAGGAACAAAGTGGGTTAAAGTGCAACTGCTTCCAAAACCATCTTCTTTGGCCAAAATCAGTTAATTCTCAATAATAATCAGATTGTAGCTTTTTTTTTTTTTTTTTTTTTTGTTTGTAAGTGCAGACTTGAGCATAGTTATCCATCTATTTGTGCTACTACAAAGTGCCATTTTATCACTGTGTGATAATGGCATCTTTATCTACCTTAACATTAAGCATGTCATGTGTTTTAAGCTGCAGTCTATTTGAATATCTGTTCCTGTGGATCCTTCTCTGTAACTTTGTGTTGCAGCATGTCAAATTATCCTGCAATGGTCTGAATTTGGGATCCCCTTGTCATTGCTGAGGTATTTCCAAACTACCTTATCTCAACATTTTCTCGTTGAACTGGAGTTGGAGGAGAAATCTGAACTCTAGACACTTGGGCTTTCTCTTCTATTTTTTTTTTTCCCCTTGGAATAGAGAAGATTTTTGGAAAAAAAAAAAAAAAAAAAAAAAGGATTAGACCAACAAAGCTGAAATTTCCATGAAGGGTTGGTTATAACAGTTCTTCTGATAGCAGTAGAAGTTTTCAAAATGGAAAAAGGATCTTCTCCCTCCCCCCACGCCCCTCCCCTTACCCCTAAGTCTATATACAGTTCAGCTTGGGGAAGTTTCACTCAGCTCCATATCCTCTGTATGGAAAGAGAATGTAAAGAGTTACATATCCAATTTCCTATGGGGCTAAACATAGCAGTCCTATATCAGCTGTGTAGGAACATCCCAGCAAATGACAAAGTCTCCTGAGAAACAGAAATAGCTGGCCACCAGCTTTCTTGCTTATAAGCCTGGTAATGTTCAGATGTGAAGAGGTGACTAATGCTGGAAGGGACAGTTGTTTCTATGAATGGCTGGTGTCAGGGATTTTGTTTTAAGCAATTATTTTTCAAGACACCAGGCACTAATATGTATGCCATAACGTCATAATTCTGCCCCTGAATATGAGACTACTTGGACCTATTGGATTCCCCCAGAAAACAGCACCTTAGTAAGTACACTGGGGCTGATGCTCACATGCTGAAGCAAGCTTTCAGGGAAAACATAATCCCACCTGTACTAAAAAACAAAATATATGGCAGAACTTCTTTTCTAGAAAAATGTTAGTCTTGGTGTGCTATAACTTACTAGATTGGCCCAACCCCTTCAGTGGGGGGGAATGGCTGTGTGAAAGCAGAACGGATTAGATCTTATGCAATCCCTTGCCTCTGCTTTGGGTGAAGAGATGCATTCCCACCTTCAGGTTCTATCACCTTACTCTAAATGGGGCTTTTTCCATAGGCAGATTGTCTTTGCTGTCTCATCCCTCCCTGCTCTATATTACTGCTCAGTGTTTTGTTATCGGTTCTTTTGAAAACGTGTGTCTGATTCTTTGGTTTGTGGCATATGGATGTAGTATGTAAAGCATATAAGCTTATATAGAGAGTAACCCTTAAATTCTCAGCATGAGGCTGCTGGCTTGGAGGTGGTTTACTTTTATTTTATTTTTTCCTTACACTTGTCTCTGCCAGGCAGACTACCTAATAGCAGATGCTCTCTTGCATGTCCCTGTAGGACACTCTGGAGTGGTAGGTCTCCTGGAGTAACTTGGCGTCAGTTGACTGACCATCCTGATGCTGTTCTGTTAAAGCTCTTGGCGTGTTCCTTGTCTGTCCTGGATCCATACCGGCCTACCTCAAACACAGTGGTGATCTTTGACATGGGTTTGGCAGCCAGCTCTCTCAGTTTCCGGGCATCGAAACGCGGCTTATAGAGAAAGATGGGTAAACGGCGGGGAAGAAAGAAGCCTTCTTCCTTCTGTGCTTTCTTCTCTTCTGCTTGCTGTTTCCTCTCCTTGTTGACTGTCATCTGGTATAAAATGGCGTCCCACATCTTCATGGCTCTAGATTTAAATGGTCTGTTGTCTTGACTGATGCTTAGAGAGCTGTCCTTTTCCTTGTTCCCTTCCTCCTGTCTTTGTTTTTCTGCTTCAAGCTCAGGGAAGCTGGGTGCTTCTGGCTGCAATATCAGGTGCTTCCTGAGACGATGCCAGCCACTGCCCTTGGCTCCCAAAGGCCTCGAGTCTTCCACTGGTGTTGGCTTGGCTTTGAGAGGAGGGCTGGTGTTCGGCAAGCTGGGAGTTGGCTGAGGTTGCACAGTGTGTTCCACCTTCATGTCATTGGGGGTAGGCCCAGCTTGTGCAGGGCTTGCTGTTTCAGGGTGTTCTGGCTTCCAAGTTGTGCTGGGTGTCAATGGTTTAAGCATATCACCATCTTGTCTGTGCAATTCAGGAGCTTTCTCTGATCTGAATATTTCTGCTTCACTTCCGTGGGCTGTAACTTTACAGGAGTGGACATCAGGGGTGCTAGGCTTGGGTGAAGGGTCATTGCTAGTCTCTTCAGGAGAGGTGGGCCTGGGAGCTTGGTTAGGAATCTCTGCCTTTGCAGCAGGAGGGAGAGCAGGCTGCAGTGTAGGAGGTGGTGCCTTGCTGCTGTCAAGGGGGGCAGATGTCTGCCCTGGGAATGGTTCAGAGCCACTTGTTTCAGGTGATGGAGAAGAAAGCCTTTTGTCTTCATGGCTGGATGTTGCTTGGGTCTGATATGATGTTGGTGTCTTGGTTCTCGGTGCCTTGACGCTGCGGAAATAAGTGTGCACCTTGGTGATGTAGGTAGCCTCTGATGTCCCTTCCTTGCTGGGTGTGCTGGAAAGAGGAGGATGGGGGGAAATAAGTACTGAAGTGTTGTGTGCAGAGGGAAGGTGTGCATCTGTGCCTTCAAGCTTCTGGGGAGCCTTGGGAGCACCTGGCTCATGCAGTGGGGACTCAGCTGTGGGGGTGGTGAGCCTGAGGTGCTCAGCAATGCGTCTCTGCTCAGTGACCTTCAACACAAAGGGCTTGCTCTTGCGGAAAGGGGAGGGCACACGATGGTGTGTGATAGGCTTGATGGAGAGGTGCACTGGGAGGCTGGTGGAGCCAGGTGCTACTGCTTTGGGGGTCTCTGCTGGGGGAACATTCTCACTGTGTTCTAGGTCAGAGCTGGCCTCGTTCACTGGGGAGAGGTTGGATCGGAAAGACTTAGCTTGCTCTGCTGCTAGCATGGCATTCTTCTTGGCAGCCTTCTTCAGCAGCTGCTGGAGCCGCAGGTTGTCCTTCTTGGGCTTTGGGAGGGTGGGAGGGGGAGATGCATGGTGGCGGATGGGAGTGGGCTGGATGGAGGATGATACCGTGATCAGCATGGTCATCTCCTAGAAGAAAGCACAAAGCTTAGAGTTGAGATGGGTTTAGCCATGGACTAGATCCTGGAGTATTCAGACATACAGCCTCCTCTTCCTCTCTAAAAACAAGCACAGAGTCAGTACTGTGTGAGTAAAGCGTCAGACTTGGCTTCCTTATTCTCCCAAGGTAGCCTCAGTCAGCCTCAAGGATGGTGAGCCAGGGCAAGAGATGTACTGGGAGAAGCTGTGTTGTCAAAGCTGAAGCCCTCCTGCTCCTAGCATTAGCGTAAAATCCAGTGAGGGCACTTTGGGACCCTTGATGTTTTCATCTTGGCAAGTCCTAGCATGATCTGGAGCAAAGCATTAGGAGAAATGGAGCAGTTCTAAGATGTTAAAGCTCTGAAACTTTCTTCAGAGGCATAAATTGGAAGTACCTTGGAGCTTTCCAGATTGCAGCTACTAATATTCTGATACGGTGTTGCATACAACAGAACAGCCTTAAACTTACATGTGTCACTTGAGATAAAGCTGATAATGGCTTTGGTTTTTAGCAGGCAGATAGGGATCCCCATTGTGTAAGGCAGGACTTAAGGCTGTGCTTATCTGGTAAAAAAAAAAAAAAAAAGTGCTTTGTCATAATCATAATTTGGGTGTTTCTTTGCTGTGTTGAGCGCAGTGGTAACCTCCTTTATCTGCACTCATCAGCCTTTGAGGAAAAAATTAGTTTTCTCTTGACAATGAAATGAATCTTCAGTGGAAGAGGAAGGTGCTTCCTTTGGTCTTGCTGGATTGGGTCTAACCTCCAGTGGGAATTGCACCTGGAACCCCTTTAAGCCAAAGTTGTGCTGCTCCTGGAGTGGACAAATATCTGTTTTTCCAGCTCCCTGGAGCAGTGTTCCCCTAGTGCTGCCAACCGCTTTCTGCTGAGCACTGTGCAGATTTCCTGTTGAGGAAAGCAGGAGAAAACTAGTCCTGGTTCTCCTCTTTCTCTTCCTCAGCAAGTCTGGGTAACACCAAGCACTCTGCTTCAGCCATGACTCTTTGGCATCCCCCAGAAAGAAATCTGACTCTGTTCTGGCTCTTGGTCAGTGCAGAGTTGCTGAGTTTTGCTATGAAATGAAGCATAAATCAGTGTCTCTTAATCCCCAGTGCAGGATATGACTGAGCATCCTGAATAAGGAAGATGAGAAAGAAGGATGTCAGGGTTGCCCACAGGGGCTATTGCATGCTTTCCACTCTGGTTAGTGAAATTGCAGCCTAAGCATCCCCCCCTGAGATAGGAGCTTGCACTGTGATACTGACAGTGAAGGTAGCCTACCTCAAAATAAAACTCTCGGACGTGCACAATGGGTAGTTCTGTTTGAATGCCAGGTGTTTCCTTTGATCTTGCAGTGTTGCTACCAGCACTGGGCTGGGAAGTTGATCAGTACCTAGTAGACACTGTACCTGCTAAAGTTATTGGTGAAAAGGCAGGGAGAAGGATGATCTTTCCCAAAAAAAAGAGAGGGGAAGGAGAGGAAAATGAAAGCTTTGGAGAAAGGGTGAGCTGTCCTCCAGAGCATTGGCTGTGGTGGTCATGGTGTAGGCAGTGCCCAGCAAATGTTGCACTGTTCCCAGCCAATGCATTTGTTCCAGCTGTAGAATGAGAAACCTCCCAGCATTTTGGCAAGGGGGCTCAAAGGGATTTGGGCAAGCTGGGGTGACAACTGTTGGGCATTCCCAGCAGCTTATCAGCTTCATGCCTTAGGCACAGGGCTAGGATTAGGATTTGTTCTATTCTAAGAGCTGCTCTTGGAAACAAGTCCACACTGGCTCCAGGGAAGACTGAGAGCTCACTCCATCATATACGTGCTCTTCCTTCCAGGTATCTTTGTAGATATTCTAGATTTTTCTGGCTCAGGAAACCATATTCCTCAGTTGAAGAGGTGTGTACCTACAGCGGTGCAATTCTATTCTGATTAGTAATTTCTAGGGTGATTTTTATCTACAGCAATGTGATCTAGTACATTCACCTGGTGTAAGGATTGAATATGGAATGATTTCATACATCTCAGATTGTGGTCCTGCAGGCAGCCTGTATCACAAGATGAGCTGTGGTCTAGCTGCATTGCTAAGCCAGAATTATGAGGCTGAACTGCTCAGGCTTGTGTTGGGAATACTAAATAGGCAGGGCGATGAACTTCCCAGCTACTGATCAGCTCTTAGTGCCTCCTTACCCTACAGATTCTGCATCATGGAAAACTGCAGCTTCCTGCTTGGGTTGGAGTGGGGTCTGGTTTGGGATTTGCTGTGAACTGCACGAGATGCTGCTGCAGTGGGCGTGGAGGTTCATGGAGCAAGCAATATAGGACTACCTGCATGCATCAGGAAAGCTTTCCATCTGTTTTGAGAGTTAGAGGCAGGCTTGTGCCCTGTAACCTCAGGTCTATGCTCCTGAAATCACTCTTATACTATCTCAGCATCTCTCTAAAACCTGCTGTGATGTGGGTGTTAGGGACTGTTTGGATGCCAGCTTCCACGGCAAATGGCTGTGCTGGTATCTGCGAGCTGGGATGGGAAGGTGGAGATGCCTATGAGGCAGTAAAAGGAAGCTGCCTTTTAATTTACTTGCTTTCTTTGTTACGCTTGCATTTTTTTTTTTTTTTTTTTTTTCCTGAATCTCCTTCAGAACTCTGTATGCAGGAGACTGTGTAACTAGCAAGACTTGTGCTTGGCTTCCCCCTTGCTGTATAACAAAGTAAAAGCACAGGGAAAGATAGATTTGCTTTCTTTGCCAGCAGAAAGGCTAGAGCAGAAAACCTGGAGAAAAGCATACTGCTTGAAGAAGTTGTCTGGGTTCATGATGGACTGGGAAGCAGCTGAGCTGAGAGGCTTCCAGAGGGTCAAGCTGCCCTAGGGCTGGTTGAGGAGGAGGAGGGCAGGTCGACCACCTGGGGATCCTACCCTTCTGCCCCACTTCATCTACAATCGCTCCAAAACTGGGAGCAGCAGGGAGCGTGTCGGCACGGAGGAGCCATCCATCACATGGCAGAGAAGTCATTTTCCCTCAGCAGCACCAGCTGTCGCATGCGGAGTGCATCAAGAGCTGCAGGAACTTGATATGGTTGCAGATGGTCCTGAGTGGAGAGCTGCTGCTGCTGGGGGAACGTGCTCTATGCTTGAATGGCTTTCTTGGGCTTGGGAGGAAACCTGCTGATTGCCTACTGGGTCGGGAAGGCTGGTGGGAGCACCTCCTTCACTCTGCCTGGCATCAGCTGGGTGGAATAAAGCTGCCTTTCACTGTTAGGCATGATACAGCCCAGAGTATTTCCGGTGGCAGAACAGAATCATAGCATCATTAAGGTTGCAAAAGACCCCTAAGATCTTCCAATCCAACCATCCACCTACCACCAGTATTGCCCACTGATCACGTCCATCAGTGCCACATCTGTGTTTCTTGAACACCTCCAGGGATGGTGACTCCACCACCTCCCTGGGTGGCTAGTACCTGACCCCTCTTTCAGAGATGACATTTTTCCTAGTATCCAACATAAAGGTATGTCTAACAACATTTTCTTGCCTTACAGCTGAGCTTGGTCCTGTCTCGATGCAATCCTCAATGCTACGACTTCCTCTGCTCCATAGAAGATAATCGAAGGACATTTCTCCTGTCTGATGTCAGTTTGCTCTGGTACAGCCTGACTCCTCTTGGGGTGAGCATACCCCGCGCTGCCTCCAGCTGGCTGCGAGGGATGGATCATCTGGCCAAACCAGTCCCACTTTTAACCTTCTACAAGACTCCTTGGCTCTTTTTTCCATTTTTTTTTTTTTTTTTTTTTTTTCCTTTTAATTAAATCTGGCTCTGCCATGGAGATGGGAAGCTGTGGCTCACCTCCCTCTCTTCTTTTTCAAGTGCTGAAATAGAAGGACCTGCTGTCCTGCCCCAGCTGGCAGGGCTTCTGCTGCATGATGGAGAGCTTCTGGTTCTGGGTGGTTGGAGAGGGGGGGAACTCATGAGAGTCTCAGTGGAGGATTTGGTGTTGGAAAGGAGAGTGATGGGCAGATTCTGTGCCACCCTCCTAACGTCAGCTGTATGAAGATGTTGCACTGCAACATCTGCTTTGAGGGGCCTCCATCTCCATGTGCACATCAAACTGTTTAATTTAGTCCTGTTTATTTAGTTCCCGTATCATCCTTTAATCACAACTAAATAGCCATGCCATAATGTTCCTGTCACTTTTCTGCATTGACAGTGGCAGCAACTTTGTTTCAAGAAGCTGCTGCCTTCCCCTCTGCTGCCCAATGGTGGGGGTGAGCACTCCTTCTCTAGGTAAGGAGCTCCTCTTGAAGTTTATTCTTCCTACCCCCTTCTCACAAAGGCTCTCAACATAATTTTGCTTCTGCTTCAATTTACAATGTGTTCTGGATTTAATTTTTTTGTAAGCATTTAATAAAATTTGAGGAAGATGTTGTAACAGTGGCATCTCTGAGGGTTTTGATGCAGGAGTTCCATAAACAAAGCTGTTTTCATAAGCCCTGCAACTCTGAGCATGAGCAATAAATATGAAGAAAAGAAGCACCAGGCTACAACAAGAAGAGGGAGAGTCTGATGCAAAGCTGGAAAATGGGCTTTTCTTGTGCTTGCTCAGTTTAAGAGGTTGTATTGCTACTTTTCTTCTTATTGGGGGGTGGGGAGAATGACTGTAAGATGGGAGTGAGTGGTGTTTGGAGAGAGGTGGAGCAGCATGTGGAAGACTTTCTGGAGCAAGCAGCTAGAAGTGACAAAAAACTCAGCTCCTTAGCTAATAGGCCTGAGAAATCAAGCTTCAACCAAAAGTATTGGAGAAGTCAGCTATAAAAATTGCTCTATAGCTTGCTTGTGCATCTGAGAGGAGGTCAAAGCAGCTGTCTGCAGGGGCACGCAGCACTCTAATGAGCTGACTCTCCTATCTGGAACCATCTAATGATAAACCCTTTATGGAAGTGACCTTCTGGATAATAACAGTTCTGTGGTGTAGAGACAGCATATAGATTGCAGTATCCTTGCCTGTGCTGTCCTAAAGTGTTAGGAATGGGAGAGCTCTCTGACATTTATTTATATTTTTATGTGGAAGAAAACTTTTTTTTTTTTTTTTTGCTATTGTCTTTGCCTGCTGATACCGTTGTCCCCTGCTTCAACTTATCGTGGAGGTAGGATTCAAGTTGTCATGGATAACATCTAGTCTTCTTTTCTTTCAACCCTTCCTCTGCCAAGCTGTGAGACCAGTGCGTGAACTGTAGCATGGAGGCATCCCCAAAGCAGCCCTGGGTTGTGCCTGCATGAGTACAGACTGATTTCTTTTCACTCCATCCTGACGTTGTCTGGGAGAGTGTGGCCAGAAGCTTTTTGTTTTACTGATCACATCCTGCCAGGTTGGAGGGCGTAACAAAGCTCTGAAGGCTGCTTGTGTGAGGTACCTGTGCTAAGGAGGGTTAATTTGCAGGGTGTATTTCTCCACTTACAGTCCACGTGGAACTCATGTGGTTTCAACAGAAACAGCTGCAGTAATTCAGGTGTTGGCTACGGCAGGCAGCAAGCAGATTGCATGGAAACCCTCTGGAGAAACCAGGAAGGGAACTGGCTTGGAGCAGGTGTGTGCAGCTCTTTATGAGGTATCTGAATTAGCCAGGGGAAAGTTTTCCACAATTATATTAACTTTATGAGATGTTGTTCCTCCTCCTGGGGTAATGTGGTGTGCACGTGCTGCAGGTGCTGGTGGGAAGTGGATGGGGGTTACTGTAATGTATGAGTCTTGCTCAAGCTGTAAAGCCTGCTTCCAGAGCCTGGCGGATAACAGCCATGTCTTGTGGCCCTGTGTGGTGGCTGGTTGTGCCCTATTCTGTTCTCCAAATTCATCACCCTGTTGGCAGGTCGATGGTGCTCATTTGAAAGGGCCTCGAACCCCAGTGTGGGTTCTTAATGCACTGCCTTTGGGGCACACTGTGGGATGTTGCTTCTCTGCAACTTTTTCTGACCCCATCCTATTTGTTTGAATTAGGTAGAGACGGAACATGCTGTTGCATGTCATCTTTTCTATAGTACTACTGAAACACACGATTTGTCTCTGGGCAGTAGGCTCTGGGCTGGTTTTTCTTATTTTATTTTCAACCAGCTTTGATTCTACGGGAGTGAATGGGACGTAGAATTGGAAAACATGGCCCAGAATATTTGAATGCTTATTTCTCACAGGCTGCAAAACAGCTCTGTTCAAACTTGTGGAAAGCTTAGCTGATGGAAAACCAGAGACTCTTTTGGATATTACGTCTTTGCTGTGCTTGTTCTGTCTCAAGACTGGAGCTAGACTTCATCTGCTTCTCTTTCCAGGCATAAAATAACTATGGATCCACTTTATAACTGTCTCTCTGTATACCTACTGGCTAATTAAGAGGTCCTTTCCTACTGTTTGAATGGGCCTTCAGCGAGGCAGTAGATGTAAAGGTCTAAAGTTTCCCAGTGACTTTATCCCTTGAAATGTGCTCTCAGAGGGAAAGGTCAGGCTCTGAGGCATCTGGGCCTGAATGTCAGTGTTTCTCCTCCCACCAGCACCTCAGGGAAGGGCAGTAAACAAGCCCAAGGAACAGGGAGGCTATAAATAATGAGGCAGCAGCTGATCTGGTGCTGGACAAATCTCTGAGTTGGTCAATTGCTATCTCTTGCCTGCTCTACACCCCTTCCCTAATGCTATGAGTTTCTCTTGTCCTTTTCAAGTAGATAAAGGAGAGATCTAACAGTGACAAAACATAGTAAGACTTAGTACTTAAAAATGATGGACTCCCTTACAAGGGTCAGGCTGGATATTAGGAAAAACTTCTTCTCAGGAAGGGTGGTGAGACAGTGGCACAGGTTGCCCAGGAAGGTGGTGGAGTCACCGTCCCTGCAGATGTTCAGAAACCATGGAGATGTGGCACTGAGGGATGTAGTGTTGGATTGATTGTTGGACTTGGTGATCTTAGTGGTGTTTTCCAACCTTAATGATTCTATTATCCTGATAGCAGTAACAAGACAGACCATGCATGATTTCTCTATGCCTTTGCATTGGGTCTGCTGAGGTTTTTAGTTGTAATGGAGCAGTTTGATGTATATCATTAACTTCAGAAAAGCGCTTAATTTCGTAATAACTCCAAGAGGCAACTGTAACAATGGCGTGAGCTCTTTGTTCTTTAATTAAATAGAAGAAGGTATCACAGACTTGGAGCTCCTGAATCCTAAGGGCAAGTCTAAAGCAGATGGGACAAGAACATCTCCCAAAGCAAACAACTGAACAATGGAGGAACAGAGCACTGCAAAAATCAGGGATTTATATTAAGTGAAGAGAGGTAAAATACAGTACTTACCGATGTGTAACTTGTTTCCATGTGTAATCACTTGCATGTTGGGTACATCATGCTTTGTTTGCAAAATTAACAGATCATCATTCCTTCACGATCATTTCAGGTGCTGTTTTCTTCTGTTTTGTAGAGCCCTGTAGGTAAATTCAAAATGCTGTAAGAGGAAAAATAATATTTACAGTAGCCAGTAAGTACAAGATATTTCTCAAAAATAAAGTGACTAGTTTTTAAAAGCGTGAGAAGTTCCATTGCCTAAAATAAGCATGAAGATGGGCTATCAAATAACACCATTGCGTACTCCTAGCTTTGGCACTGCAAAGTTTGGCATCTGAAGCACCTGAGAGGTGAAGGGCAGATGATGGTGAAGCTGCCAGGATAGATATTCTAGCAGGATTGCTCCAGGCAGTAAAACCATTTGGAGGCTTTTCAAGTTTACTGGTCAGATTTACTGTGTTGCAAAAAACAGGGTTGCAAAATGCAAATTTGAAGTTGTGCTTTGAATGTTGCTGTCCCTGAAGAGGAAGAGCATGAGTTCTGGCTCTGTTACTGTTTGTTCCTGTGCTGTACTTAAAGGGTACAATCTTGGGAAGTGCTGTGCTGGGGAGCAGAGGAGAAATGAGTTGGAGCTGAGGGACTGAGCAGGCAGTGGTGAATTTTAGGTTGTGGGTTTCTGTGGAGTTTGACTCTTGTTGCACACACAAATAGGGCTGGGACAGCTCAAATGCATGGGGTTAAGCTTGGTATGTTTAATCTGGACTTTAAGTGTGGAAACATTGGTGAGATGTGCAAAAAAAGCAATCCTGAAAGCAAACTCTGTCTTATCCAGTATTTATCCTGCTGAGTCTTGTTGCTAATTCACCCTATGCACTAGCGCATCTCTCACCTGTCTTCCAGTCACTCTGGTTTGAATGGAGAAAGTTGAGTATTTCCCACGATCATCAAAGTTTTGGCCCTTCTGTTGAGACCAGTTTTTGTAATAGCCATGTAGCTGCTGGTGTTTTGAGGCTAGCACATTTCTTAGGAGTCACCTTCCATTCTGATCCTTCCACAAAAAGTGTTAAAAGTGTTGGTCAATGAGACCGAATATCCCATGGTTTGGGAAGGTCTGGCTGACCCAGATTCTTCTCCTGAAGAGGAGCTTTGTTAACTTTCTTCCTCTTGTCCAAGGAGGTTATGCATGCTCCATATCTGAGGCATTCAAAGTCTGATTGGATGGGGCCCTGGGCAGCCTGATCTAGCCTGAACCTCTGATGGCAGGGGGTTGGAACTAGATGAACTTTAAGGCCCCTTCCAACCTAAGTCATTTTATGATTCTCTTGCCTCCTTGCTGATGGTGAAATCATGCCCAGCTCTGCACTGACCCACAGGAAAACTTGAAGGAGGTGCTCAGTCATTCATATAAATACTCTAATGCAATTAATTCTTCCTTGGCTGATGATTATAATGGTCTTCTAGAAATGCTAATGACTTTGTGCGTATCCAACACTGAAAGCATTGCAGGGAGGAAAAAAAAAAAGGACAATAAGAAACAGAAGAAATCCTATGGGAATCCTAGGAAAAAGTCATGTATTATGAGTAAGAAAACTTCAACAGAATTTGAAAATGCTTGATGACAGGTTGTACCCTGCTCTGCTACTGTCGCCATGAAGACAGATCAGTCTAATGAATTCATTCACAGCAGGGCTGAAGTATGCATGATGAACCATATGGGTGATGCACAAGGTTGGCTTATGTTTGCATATAATGCTCAAGGAGGAGGTCTTCAGATCCTCCCCTATTTCTTATGTGAGCATGCAGGGTTTCTGCTCTTGACAGGGTAAAATGGGGGCAAAAGATCCCACTGGCTGAAGAGTTGACACGTTTGTGTCCTCCTTGAAGTGCTGATTGAGTTCCTCCCTACAGATGGAGGAGGGTGAACTGCAGAGTCGGGAAGATGGATGGAGGCACATGTAGGTAATTTGGTCATGAATATGACAGCCTATTAGTTGCCTTTTATCCTCCTTGTTATACCTCTGAATCTTGGAGGCATCATGAAGCTACCATCGGGAGAATGTGTTGATACTATGAGGTGTCCCAGCCACCCTCTAGGATTCAGGGAGGTGATTCCACACCCTCACAAGTACTTGTTCTATCTTAATGAAATACCTTGTTTTGCATAAATGCCTGCAAGTTTTAGGGATTGTGGTAGGTATGCATGGTGATATTGGGTTAATGGTTGGATTAGATGATCTTAGTGGTCTTTTCCAACCTTACTGATTCTATGAAATTCGTATAGCCTGAAAACTTTCCCATGCCACTGCTGCCCTCATCATACACTTTCCTGACTGCTACAATTTCTTCTGGATAAGTAAATGAAGGTAGGTGTCAGGTGGCATCCAGAGGCTGGCTTCTGGATATCTGCTCTCAGCTTTCCTGTCATTTTGCCCCTCCTTCAAATCTGGACTTGAGAGCCTTCTCTCCGAAACACTTGGGGATGGAGCTGTAAGAAACATCTGGGTATTGGCATGCCTGCTGTCAGAGATGTGAGCCCTGCCCACATCCCTTCAAGCTGGGAGAAGGAGAAACAACCTGTGGGATACTGAGGACTGAGATCCTTACCCTAAATGCCAAGCAAGGCATTACAGCAGCCCAAGAGAAGTGTGGCCTTTGCTCATCCTGTGTGAGTTGTGCTGCACATTCCCCAGCATCCCGTCATCACTGGTAAAATGGCAGCAACCTGCTGGTACTTAAATAGAGGAGCTGATCTTAAAGTTTAAGGCTATTCTGATCTCTGCTTGACCTGCTGCTTAAAACAGATCGTTGGACTTTACTCAGGAACAGAAAATATTTGTCTATACTCCGTACTTTCTCTGAGGCTGCTTAGTTGCTATCTGTTTTGCCTTCTTAGTCGCAACTGTTTCAATTAAATTGGAAAGAGCATTTCAGTGAAGGTAGGGCATCTGCTTTAACCTTGAGCTGATGATCAAAGCCCTCTGCAGAAATTCTTTGGGGTGGAAGAAAGAGGAGGAGAAACCCGGATAAGAATTTAGAGTCCCTTACCAAATGCCTTCTGTGATTCCCATTTACCGCCTGCCCTAAATCACAGTAAGAAGTGTATAATTGACAGTGTCACAAGCCAGAAAAATAAACACCGCATCCCTTCCCCAATGAGCTCAATCAGCATGTTTTCCTGGAAAACATCAAGAGTTCCAGTGTTGAAGTCTGTACGCGTGGACAAGTGTGCCAAGAGCAGAATCATGCAAAAATATCAAAATTCTTTGTTTTGAAAGCATTCAAATAGGAGCTCAGAAGAGAAAAACAAACTTAGTAAAGAAACATTTTAAAGGTGAGTAATGGAAAAATGCAAGTAAAATGCCTCTGCCTTACACGTAGCCTCACTTTGGGTGACTTAACCATTTTCATGCCATTGAAAGTTTCTCTAACTCCTGCATGAAGATGCAAGTGCAGGGTGAGGGGCAATGCAGTTTGGAGGGAGACCTCAGGAGGACCTCTGGCCAGGCATGATTGGCTTTGATTTTTTTTGGCTTTTTGATTTTGCTCATGATCAGGGGTTGGTGAATAGGAGATTGATACTGAGAGTAAGATCACTCCTTTTTGATCCTAAATCACTTGTTCTATTTCGAGGATGTAATATTTACAAATTGTACAGCCTTTAATGAACGTGAAGTTGGGCTACAGGCAGGACTTTGGGTTCTGAAGTCTGCAGAGGTTTCCAATGGAAACTTGCCTGCGTTTCTGTCCTAGCCTCTGGCTCCAATTTGAGGAGTAACGCTGTTGGTTTTGTACTTTCTCCCATGTTGAAATAATTGAGGTTTGAGGGCTTGTGCCTACTTCATGTGCAGTCTTAACACCATCCATGGTAGGTGAGGTGGTCTCCAAAGACCGATGTTTGCTGCACCCTCATCTAGCAAAATCCAATAGATTTTTTTAGAAAGGTGGATGCAAGAAATCTCCTCTTCCCTTTTCTGGTTAGTGCTGTGAGTAGGGACTGCTAGGTGGGTGGTGGTGGTTTCTTGTTGGCCATGATGGCTGTGGATAGAACTGGCATATGGCAGCAGGAGGTAAAATAATGAGTAGCCATATAGTATGTGTGGATGGCATGGAGTATGTGGCTAAGGCACAAATTAAATACTGAAGAGGGTTGTGGTTACATGCCAAAGCTAATGGTGAGATCCACAAAGAGAAGAAAGGATAAAGCACTGAAGTGGGCCTAGGAAACGAGCCTTGCTTTTGAGCCAGGTGACAGCAGAGCAAAGGAAGAACAAAAGTATCAGATGAGCCTTTGCTCAGGGGGTGAATGGCACAGGTCCCCACAGTCAGACCAGGCTGGCAATGGCAATGTAGCACATAGCTCAGGGCAGCCAGGACAGAATGTGAGCATGGACATGAGCACTCCTGGTGGAGGAAACCCATAGGATGCCCAGGCATTCTTTAGGGACAGTAGCAAGCATCTGGTTGATGGGGGAGACAGTATAGATGTGCTACACAACATCAAGGTAAGTGCTCATCTGGAGCAACATGTCCACACCAGCACACACATGCATATGAGATCAAAGAGTGTGCTTCAGAGACCGAAGTTTGCATATAAATTATTTTCCATTAGTCAGCATGTCTCCTGCATCTCTATGCCTATGGAGCTGCACAGTATGAAGCATGACCCCAAAACCCCGTGCCTACAACTCAGTAACACCATAAAAAGTCAAGAGCTGCAGCAGATCCCAACACCTGGCTGTCTGTCCTTCCCACAGCCTGTCAATGCCAATTTTGCTTTTATGCGGCTTTGTCAGCACTCCCTGGTTTGAGAAACCTTAATGGAGATGCCCCGTTAGCAGGAAAAACAATACAGAAGGACAGATAAGTGAAGGAGGCTGGTGGTACCTTTGCAAGACAGGCTCTACAGCTGATATTAAAAGGAGAAATCAATGAGGGACTCCCTTCCAGTACCTCCATGCTCTGCTGCCAGTTTGGGCAAATACACTATTTCTTGGAGACATGCCCAACCAGTGGAGCTCACGATGGGAATGAGCCAGTGCAAGATGGCAAAAAATGCACAGCAATGCCCAAAATGTGGCATGAAAGCTAGCTGGCTGCATTGGTGTTCGGGGAAATACAGGCTGTGATTTCTGGTCACAGTCACCATGCGGGTGCTGCTGGGGCTCTGCCACCACCAGGCTCCTCCTGTCCAAAGCAGGGCACTGAGTATGGATGCAGACCTGACGGCACTGTCCCCTTCCCACCCAATGGGTAACACAAGCATCGTTACAAGCCAGGCTGCAGGAGGCAGGGAGGGGATAAGGGGATTTTTGCTCATGCAGGTTACCTGGTGCATGGGAGGCTGCAGCACCCTGCTCCACTTCTTTAAAAGCTGCTCTCTACATCCTCACTTGGGGAGTCCTTCCTGCAAGTGGCAGGGAAAGGAGAGGGCAGGAATCGATCTGTGAGCTGAGCCAAAAATATCACTTGTCCTGTAGCTCTGAAAGGTTTTCTCTGCTCTTACAGGCTACGAGAAAGGGGTGCCCCATCTGCCAGGCACACTGTGGGCACGGTCTGTGTGGCAGGGACTGCCTGCCAAGGGGAGATGGGAGGAGGGGATGGGGGCTGAAGCTGCAAGAGGCAGTGAAATGGAAACCGTGACCTGCGGGTCGTTCAAAGTGCTGTGAGCCTTTGCTCATGTGTCTGTGCAGCTGATAAAGCCTCGCATGCATTCGGGCTGCCCCTTGGGTCCTTCTGTGCATTTACAGGCTCCTGACCTCGTACTGGGATGACTGGGAGGTTCAGACACCCCAGGCTTGCTGTAGGATGTCCTTACTTAGATATTGCTTCTTTATCACAGTGAGAAAGCTCTGAGTGTGGTTTGAGGTCAGGCACACTCTTGAGCAGTTCTCCTGCTCCATTGTTGTATTTTGGTCTTGGTTTCCTCCAACGCTAATGCTTGGCAAGACCCTTGGCAAGAGATGGGTGGGTGTCAACGCACACAACCTCATGTGCTATATACTGCTGACTTCTCATGCACCTTCTAAGCACCGCTGGATGTCCTTGAGATCTCTACAGACTCTGAATAAAGTCACTCTTGCTTCAAAGAAAAGCACCCTCTCCTGGCTGGGGGTGCAGAAGTGGCTGCTGTGTACTAAGCTTGCGGAATGTAGTGTGCCACAACCATGTTTGAAGCAGCAGCCATGCACCATGGAGTTCCAACAGCCCTGCATATCATTTCTGAGGTGCCTTTGCCTCAGATACCCCTCTTTAAGCTTTGCTTGCCTAGTGGTAGCGTAAATATAGAAACACGAACTCTGCTGTTTTTTTATCCAAACATGTCCCTCCCATCTATGCATCATCTGTGCAATCCCTCCAGCTGCTCCTATACATGGCATGACTTTTTTTTTTCTTTCCACCCTTTCCCTCACTCCTTGCCCCACTCCCTTCCTTTCCCTGCCCATCGCGGGGGGCTGGGGGCCAATCGGCTCCTGCAGACGATCAAATGTCACTATAACTTGAGAGCAGCAGCACCCCAGGACGCCTGCACATCCCAGCCCGTCCCCTCCACAGGGAGTTCCACGCCTGCCTCCGCACCTCCCGGTAAGTGGAACCCTAGTGGGAAACGTGGTGGGGCTGAGGTTTGGATGAGGGATGATCCCAAGGGGAGGGTTGGAGGTCTGGGAGGTGTGGGATCCTGTGTAGACTGAGTGTTCCCCACTAAGGGAAGGGTGCTTTTCCTTACTGCATTTGATGGGCTATTGCACAAGATTGCTGTCACCTGTAGGGATCTGGGTTTGAGAGTGAGCAGTAGGGGAAGAGACACCTCCAAAGCCCAGGCTGGGAATGATGTGGCAGTGATGTTTAGAGTCAAGGAGGTATGCACAGGGTTCAGGAAAACTCCTAGGCAGTAAGGTAGAAACACTGATGTGTCTCCAGAAGAAAGGGATGGCCAAGGTAGGGGAGGAGGAGGATGGAAGAGCACTAATGCAGCCACTGAAAGCTTCCACTGCTTGCACAGAAAGAAGAAAATTAGGGAAGTAGTCTCTGCAGGAGTTAGATGAGTAAATTCAGCATGGCTGTGGAATGTTTGCCGTAAGTGTGGCTTCAAAGCCCAGTGCCTTGCTGGTTTGACCGCTGGTGTGGGTGGCATGGAGGATCTCCAGTGTGCTGGGGGGACTGCTAGGCTAGGCACATGGGGACAGGATGGAGCAAGGGTAAGGGGCATCAGTTAAGCATAGCTGATCTCTCTATTTTAGCCTTGTTGCTTCTGGCTGCCTCTACACAACAAGTAGAAAACACCCAAAGATGAGGTGAAGGGTGTATTTTAGGGCAAGAATTGGTGTTTTGCTTTGTGTTGGTGGAGGACAGGGAGACAGGTGAGATCCACTACTCAGCCCCAGTAGTGAGATAAGGACTTATTGGTGGAAAATACCAAGCAGTTCAGAAACAAATGAGGGGGCAGGTGAGAGGAAGAAATACATATAAACGTATACCTGTGTAGATAATATATTATTACAAAAATAGTATTAATGGGTGTGTTGAGTTTGCAGCAGCCCCTGTTAGAAAAGTATGGCTGTTTGGTGGATTGAACCTGCTTCTTGTCTGATTGCTGTTTCATTGCCCATGCACAGCCAATTTATTCCTCCTTCCCTTCTCCTGGAGTAGGGCTCCTGCCATCTTGCCTCCCTTTTGTGGCTGGTGGTGGGTTTTTTCCAAGGATGGGCTTGGGGTACAAGGGAGCCCATTCCTCCTCCCAGCTGGCAGGCAGGCAGGCACATTCCCAGCTGCTAAGATGCTTCTTAGGACGTGATGTCTCTGCTCTTTTGGTGGGGGACAGAAGTGTTTGGGGTCGAAGAGGACGCGCCGAGCTGGCCCCTGGCCATTTGGGGTTGAGGAGGAAGAGGGATTTTGCTCTGCCAGCTGGGAGGGCAAGCAATAAAACTGCCACATCCCTGTGTTTATTGGAAAAGCAAGTGAGCACGCGTGGCTTAATTTTTGAATGGAACAAGCACTAAGGCTTGAAGAACGTAAGCAAATAAAATTAGAAATGAAATGATTCAGGGTTTTTAGCTTGAATGAAATGCAAAAGGTAAGCTTTGTTTTCACCTGAAGGAGTGAGAGAAGGTAGGAAGCTCGGGCTGGCAAAGCTGTGTTTTGCTGTACTCCCAGATGGTGGGCATTATTAGCTAATTGATTTTATTACATCCTTAAACTTCAGTCAAGTCCAAACCCCATTTTTCTCTGCCACTGTACAAACAAAAACCAGTTATTGCCTCAAGGTGCTAACAGCCTTAATCTCAGGCTGCGTTCACTGCGTGTAATGTAATTTCCACTGAAAGGCAATCCTGAGCCAGCTGGAGATTTTCCATTGCCGTCAGTGAAAATATATACACTGTTCTTAGTGGATTGCTTTCTTCAGTCCCTTTTGGAGATAACTACCGATCTTTTTTATTTGCTGCTTTGATGACACGGTTAGCTATGTGGACAGTGCAGGAACTGAAAATCGTTTCTTGTCTCATACATGGCTCTCAAGTTGCCCGGGTATTTTTCTTGCTATGTGGTTTTGTCCTTGTCTTGTTATTGATTTGTTTTATCCAGGGCCTGGAAAGCCCCTCTGGATTGGGGCATTTGGGTGTCAGAGATTTTGGTATTCTCATTTGGCTTTCCTAGCATGTGGGTAAACGCCATGCCAAGTCCCACTCGCTGTCACAGCACTTGGATTGACAAATATGGAAGAGCGTAGGGGAGTACCAATGTGACAACCCTCAGCAAGAAGTCCTGAGAGCTAAATTGGAGAGTGGATGAGCTCATTCCAATGACTGTTAATAGCAAGCCTGATGGCAAAGCCTCCTGTAGACTTCAATTGCCTTGGAAAGAACAGTATGCCCTGCATTACATGCCCACCCTGCACCAAACAGGCATTTTCATTTCCACGTCTAGGGCTCTTGGCCTATTTTTTCTCCAGCACAGAGCAATATCACTCTTCGTGCCATGCAGTGAAATTGGAAGTTTAGTTCAAAGCTCTTCGGCCCCTCTTTTTATTTATTTATTGTTTTATTCCATCTTGGGAAGAATGAAATCTGCCTTTACAAATTAAAGCAGAATGCATGGAAGGATTGGCCATTGCTTTGAGTCCTACAGACCACATACTTTGGTATAAGCTAACAGCTGGTCATTTGAAAGGTTCCCTCTTCGGGCCTTTGCCAGGACAATCTCTACTAACCCACTGCAGAAAGCAACTTACAGTTAAGTGTTACTGCTATTAGCTCAAATAATTTTTGGAGGCTAAAGTGAGATTGCAAAGCTATCATACTGCTAGTCCTCTGCAGACAGTGAGAGGAAGCCTAAATTCTGAAGACTGGATGGTCTAGATAAAGAGAGATGAGAAGTGGTGTTATACCTAAGCAAGCAGTTGGAACTCAATGATCTTTAGGGTCCCTTCCACCCTAAGCAATTCTGTGATTCTAAAAGCCTTTTGCAGAGCTGAAGTTACTCCAACACAGGAGTTGTGTCTGGTAGGGAGCAATCATAGCTACCAATTAAATACAGCTTTGCACCAAGAGATTGCAGTTCTTGTGTGTCCTAGCAGTAGGCCATCCTCCCATTTCTAACAGAGCCATTGTTGGCATGATTTCCAGGGCAATGCTGAGTTCTTATAAATAATAATAAAGTATCTGGGGAGGTTGAAGATGCAGCCTGCTTAGAACAAGAACTTTTAAATCCTGTTGGTGTCAATGAGTAGCATTAAAGAGTGGTGTTCAGGGTCACTGCTGGGGAATGGAAAGGATCCCTTATAGGGCAGAGTTGGAGCCTCTGGGATTACTGCCTTCCTCTGAAATAGAAAGCTTCTGAGCTGCAGTTGTTCCTTTTGAACTTAAATCAGTCCACCTGCTCCTTCAAGACATCTCTCATATATCAGCTGAGTAATGAAGTTGTGAAAGTCACGGTTTGGGTTTCCCAGCCAAGAGGAGCCTGGCTTTGTATTTTAAGACCTACTGCCAATTTGGAGGAAGTCTGGAGGGGCCCTGACTACCTCCTGCCCCCAGCTTCAGGGCAGACATGACTTTTAGAAGGGTGGGAGCCTTGCGCTGCAATATGCTTATACACAAGCCAGAGAAGAGTGGCTTGAGCCATAAATGGATTTGTCTCACATGCACTTTTAGATGTGTTGTAATAGGTATGACTGGCTGGGTTGACATAGGTTGCCTAACCATGTATTTGGCTAGTTTTTATCCTAAATTAATCATCAGCCCATTGTTCATGTATTAATCAACTATGTAAGCCAGACACTGTTACTTAATGCACTTAATGACAGTTTCTGCATGCTGACGATTAAATAGTTATCTCTGGATGAATCTGTGGAGTGGTTGGGTTTTTTATTACTACTGTATTTTCTAGCTTTGAGTAATGCTTAAAAGCTGGGATCTTTCCATTTGTAGTAGGATAAAAGAAGGCAAAATTTCTCTGATCTTGCTGAAGTGATGGAAATGTCAGACAGGTGCAAGAGGGCAAGGCCTGTGCCCATCTCCCCGATCCTTGGAGGTTTTGTAACCCAAAGCCAGGTCCAGATTT